TAAGTACTGTGTGTGTTTTATTGTTGTTTATTTAGTCATGCATATCTAGGCAGTTAGGACCCACCGTAATTGGAGTACTTTGGCGCAGTGGAGGGCTGAATACAACTTGGCCATTTATGTATGTCTAAATTTCCAATGTTTATTACATATATAGTACTTAGTTATGTCTCCTCTTGCTTTGCCTTGTAACTCTTGTCTTGTTTTATTTTGTCTTGTATTCCCAGTTCATGTACTGTCCTGTCCTGCCCTGTCCATGTCCTGTTCTTGTTTCGCTTATGTATTATGTACATGTTCTGGGTTCTGCTTTCTGTCCTGCTCCGGTTCTGGGTTCTTCTAGACTTGTCTTGTTTTCATGTTTTGCGCCTGTTCTAGTCTTACCTTGTTTCTAATACCTAATACATCTCAGCGTATCATCTAGCTCCTGGCTTCTGCTAAGCTGCATCAGGGCTCTGGTATGTGCCACACAAACCCTGGTGTTCAACACCAGGGGGTGTGTGGTTACCCTGCACCAGACCCTGATTGTCTATTTCCACGCTGAGATTCCCAGCATCCTCATCAGGCACACAGGGGTCCCGGTCTTTGGATGACCACCCGTGACACAGTGTTCCCCAACCTAGTCCTTATGGACCACCAATAGTCGAGGTTTTGTCAGTATCTTTATTGGAATAAAATAGGGAAATACATAAATCCTGGACTGTTGATGGTCCACAAGGACTGAGTTGGGAAACACTGGTCTAGAGCCCTTGTAACCTGGTTCTATGTAAAGGAGTAGTTGTGCCAATAAAGAGGGTCACAATCCCTTATTTTAATACTGGATCAGGTAGGGCGAAAAGGATCCACAGCACTATGTAATAAAAATGAATTTGTTTTATTTAAACAAAACTATAAATAAAATCAACAAATAAAAAAAACCTTAAATTAATAAAAACAATAAAGTCTCAACGAAAAGTCCACTAAGGTGTCCCCGAAGACGAGTTTCACTGATCCTTGGCATTTTAAATCTGTGTCATTATGTTTAAAGGGACATTTTAGATTGCAAATTACACTTTTTTTATTGTGTTGTATTAATATTGCATTAAGATATGCATAACCCGGGGGCGGAGCTTGACACACACACCACTGTTCTTCTTACGATTTTTAACTGGTGGTGTGCTGGTATTGGTGCTTGAGTGGTTGTCTATCAGCTATCCAGGTCTGGACTCGTCCACTAGGATTTTCAGGTTTGTAAATCTAACGAAATGAACCATATTTGTCTATTTGCATTCCAAGCAAATGGTTTGACAGTCATTTCTGCTTCTTTTTGTGCAGATTGCACATATTCTGGTATATGAAATCTAAACAGTTAAACACTACAAAAGTTAAAGTGTAGTTGGAAAGGCTCATTGTAAGATTTCAAAGCTCTCATTGCACAGCCTCACTTCTGCTCAGAGCAGGGATTCCAGTGATTAGGTTTGAGAAATTGTTAGCTCAGTTACAGCTTCGAGAAAATGTTACAGTGCTTCCTGATCACATATACAAATGTGTTATTGGACAATGCAGGCAAGAAAAAAAAGGGTGAAAAAGGGTACAATAACCAGCAAGAAGGGAGTATTCCTGGCTAATCATGGCAGCATCACTTACGGGGTAGCTCCTCCCTTAGCAGTCTCAGGACAGGAATTAATTATATTAATTAATCAGACTGATAGGTATAAAAAGTCCCTCCTCCCCCTACACCTCAGTCTTTTTTCCTGTCCTTAGCAAGTTCTACAGGACTTTTTTACATTTTATTTTATGGCCACCTTCCTGCGTTTGTCGTGGGTTCGTTCCAAATGAAGTTCAGCCTCTCTTCATTTGAAGGACCCAGTAAACAGCCTGCATGAGCAGGACTAACTGGGTCAGGTTCAGTGTAAGTACTGAACTACAGCGTGGGAAGTAAGTGTTTGAGGGAAACACTGTTGTGTTTATTTGTGGGGTTGGTTTAGCCTTAAAAATTCCCCTGGTTTTTAACCTGCCCCTACTAATTGCGGCCATATATCCCCCCCATGCTTGGATGGCAGCCTTTTGAATCCATACTTAGGGGCTTGTGTGGTTTGGTACCTTTCAGTGGCCGTCTGGGTGTTCCTGTCTCCAGAAAGGCTTCCTGCTCCCTGGGCCTCCTTGGGCGTCCGGGCGTTGGGGGCTGGAACGCATTCTGCGTTCCAGCCGACTGTATGATGCTCGCGGCCGGTTTCGGCGAAACCAGAAGTGAATTGCATGCCGGCCACGAGCGTTTGGAACGCATGGCGTGCGTTCCAGCGCTCTGCGCATGCGCGGACCGGGCAATCAGCTGTTTCAGTGCCCGGTCCTATTTAAAGCCTCAGATGCAGTTTTCTTGTGCTGTATCTGCAGTCCTAGATTGTGTTCCCCCAAGGAATTGATTTCTTACCACAACCTTGGCCTCTTCCAGTTGTGTTCAGCTGCTTCTCCTGTTACCTGGCTGCTTGGTGGAATTTTTCTTCTTTAAGGTAGGATTTCTGTTCTTCTACTGATTGGAAGTTTGCTTTTTTATCAGCTTGCCTCTTATCCATTTATGAAATTAGGTCTTGAATTTCCTTTGGTTCTTTTTTACAGTATGGATTCTCTCTCTGCCTCTGCAAGATCCCTCTCTAGAAAACATAGGTGAGCCATTTATTAAATTTATGGGGGGGTTGTTAAAAGAGTGCCATACTAAGCCTGTAATATATGTCATAATGTTTCTAATACCCCACCTCCTATAGTCTGTAAGCTATAGTCTGTAAGCTCGTTTGAGCAGGATCCTCTTCAACCTATTGTTCCTGTAAGTTTTCTTGTAATTGTCCTATTTATTGTTGCATCCCCCCTCTCAAAATATTGTAAAGCGCTACGGAATCTGTTGGCGCTATATAAATGATAATAATAATAATAATAATAATATATGGCTTTATTCCAGCCCCAGCATTCATTTGGATTCTCCAGCAAGAAAATCACGGGAAAAGTCAAATAAATGCATTAATTGTTCATCGCCTGCTCCGAATGGAAGGAACCTTTGCAGGGATTGCTTGTTGGAAGTCGCAGACGCCCTCGGTAGGGGTTCTCCACAGGACAACCTTAAACTCTGGATTTTCCAGGCTATTGCTGAGGGCTTTAAGGCTACCATGGGATCTAGTGGTCAGAGTAAGAGACGCAGAGCGGAACCTCAGTCTTCCAGCTCTGATGAAGACCCTGATGTGTGGAAGGGCTCGGATGAAGGTGAGGAGGAAACTGAATATGCCTCCAGGTCTCTTGACTCCAGGTCTGTTGATAGACTTATTACCCTTCTCAGAGACACACTTAGTCTCACTGAAGAAAGGTCTGAATTAAAAGAGGCTGACAGGTTTTTTTGAGGACCTAAAACCTAACAGACCGACTTTCCCGGTGCATGCATCAATCAGGGATATGATCCTTCAGGAATGGAATAAGCCGGAAAAGAAGTCCACCTTAAAAAATAAGTTCACGAGGGTTTATCCGTACTCTACAGTGGACTGCTGCCTGTGGAACTCAGTTCCTAAAATTGACGCTGCAGTGATCCATATGGCTAAGAAAACGACACTGCCTATTGACTCCATGGCATATCTAAGAGAGCCTATGGAGAAGCGTATGGATGGAGACCTGATTAAAGCCTACTTGGCCCTAGGGTCCGCCCTTCATCCGTCAGTGGCACTGACTACTCTCTCCAGAGCCTTGAAAGTGTGGCTCGCTAATCTGAGGGAGTACATTGATCAGGGTGTCCATAGGGAGCATCTGTTGGAGAGCCTCAAGGACTTTAGTCTGGCCACGGAATTCTGTTCAGAAGCCTCCCTGGACATCACTCGCATGTTTGCAAAAAGCATGGCCCTATCTGTGGCTTCTAGAAGGGCTCTGTGGCTTCATTGGTGGGGTGCTGATTATGCTTCTAAGGCTTCCCTGTGTGCACTTCTGTTCCAAGGGGATCTCCTTTTTGGGAAAATTCTGGAAGAGGCTATTCAAAAAGCTGCTGATGGGAAAAAGGCGTTTTTACCTCAAACCGGCAGGAAGAGTTTTCCCCCCTCGTGGAAGACCAAGCGCTTCAAGGATAGGTCCTTTCGGGACAGCAGGAGCTATAAACCTGGAAGGGACTTTTCCAGGAATTCTTCATGGAAGTCCTTCTCGCATTCATCTTCCAATAAGCCTTCCAGAGGAAGGGGTGCTAGGATCCCAGGGAAGAACTTCTGAAGGTCTCCAGGCCCGTTCGGGGACGGTGGGAGGAAGACTGAAGTTCTTCTACCCTGTATGGGCCAGCAATATTTCGGACCTATGGGTCACTTCCATGGTAAAGGAAGGTTACAAAATAGAATTCTCATCTTACCCGAAAACTGCATTCTTCCGAAAATCAAAGGTGTCAGTAGGCATCAAACGAAGGGCCATGAGGTCCTGCATTTCTGTACTCCTGGAACAAAAAGTGGTGGAAGAAGTTCCAAACCGGAAAGGTTCCGGGCATTTACTCCACAGTGTTCTTGGCCTCCAAACCACAGGGAAAGTGACGTCTCATTTTGAATTTGAAAGGCGTAAACTCCTTGCTCGACGTAAGGACATTCAAAATGGAATCCTTGAGGACCATCTTGAAGTGTGTCAAAAAGGGAGACTGGATGACCTCAATAGACTTAAGGGATGCTTACTATCATATCCCAATACATCAAGATCACATACAGTTTCTCAGGTTTTGGGCGCTAGGAAGGCACTTCCAGTTCTGGGGACTACCGTTTGGCCTCAGCCTGGCTCCAAGAACGTTCTCAAAAGTTCTGGTCACCTTAATAGCCTTTATAAGGGAAAAGGGTATCGAGATCTTCCATTATTTGGACGACGAATTGTAGCTCAGCATACGTCAGTGGCAATGTCCATTCTTCAAGACCATGGTTGGCTTCTGAACGTAGAAAAGAGCTCCCTCGTTCCTGTGCAAACTATCATTTTCCTGGGTGCAGTGGTGAATACCGTGTCTGCACATGTGTTCCTGTCTCCAGAAAGGGTCACGAAGATCAGAGACAAAGTAAGGAAGCTGCAAGATCTCGAAACTGCACCTGCAAGAGAAGTCATGAGTCTCCTGGGTTCCTTGACATCAACAATAGGGTTGGTGAAGTGGGCCCAGTGGAAGTTCCGTCCGGTCCAGAACTGCTTCTTTCTCCAGTTCAACAGAGTGGAAGCGGATTGGGAACAGATGATATCTCTTCCCCTCCCCGTAAGGAAAGGCTTAAACTGGTGGAAGAGCGAGAGGAATTTGACAACAGGCCTCCCGTTGGAAGATCCCCCTTGGAAGGTTATTACGACAGATGCCAGTTCTTTTGGATGGGGTGCCCACTTCAGTTCTGTATGGACTCAAGGGAAGTGGACCCAAGAAGAAAGTCACCTACACTCAAACGTAAGGGAACTGAGAGCGGTTTACAAGGCCATTTTGAGATTCCTGCCAAGGGTAAGGAATTCTTGGGTTCTAATCAAGACAGACAACAGAACGGTTGCCTCATATGTGAACAACCAAGGTGGCACGAGGAGCAGGTTGCTCCTGGAAGAGCTGGCTCCCTTAATGGCTATAGCCATGACCTATCTTCAAGGCCTGAAGGCGATTTATCTCCCAGGTTCGGAGAACGTGACGGCAGACTTCCTCAGCAGAAAGGAAATTCTTCTGGGAGAACGGCAACTTCACCCAGCGATCTTTGCAGAAATTGCACATCGGTGGGGCATGCCCCAGATCGACCTGATGGCATCATCTCAGAATCATCAGGTGAAGAATTACTTCTCTCTCCACCTGGATTGTCAGGCACTGGGCCAGGATGCTCTCTCTCTGCCTTGGTCGTTCGATCTGGTGTATGCTTTCCCTCCCCTACCCATGATACCCAGGTTCCTGCGGAAGGTTTGGTCGGAAGGCAAGAAAGTTATTGCCATAATTCCAATTTGGCCTCGGAGACCTTGGTTTCCCCTATTGGCCATGATGAGCCAGGAACAACCTTGGCCTCTTCCAGTGATGGAGGATCTGCTCACGCAGGGCCCTGTATTCCATCCTCATCCGGAACACCTCAAGCTGGGGGTATGGGTCTTGAGAAAGAAAGACTCCAATTACTAGGTCTCTCAGAGGCAGTGATCAATACTGCTCTCCAGGAAGGCTTCCACTTCCTCATGCTACCATAGGATCTGGGATGTGTTCCAAGAATGGGCATCGTCTAATAATGTGGACTTCCTGCATCCTAGCAATACTGAAGTTTTGGAGTTTCTGCAAGAGGGCCTGGACAAGAGCCTTAGCCTCAGCACCCTGAAGGTTCAGTCTTCGGCACTTTCAGCTTTGTGCAACATCTCATGGGCTTCGGATCCTTTGATTTCCAGGTTCTTCAAAGTGGCCTTCAGGTTGAGGCCTCCTTCCAGATCTACTACCCCTCCTTGGGACCTTCCTCTGGTGCTCAATTATCTCACTGAGGATCTGTTTGTTCCTCTTGAAAGTTTGGATGCTACTCTCCTGACGTATAAAACTTTGTGTTTGGTGGCAATTACTTCCGCAAGACGGATTTCAGAGATTAAGGCATTTTCTACATCATCTTCTTGTTTACGATTCTACCAAGATAGGGTGTGTCTGAAACCAAACCAGAGTTTCTTCCTAAGGTGGTTTCTCAGTTTCATCTCTCTCAAGAAGTGGTTCTTCCATCATTTTACCCCAACCCCTCTTCTCAGGAGGAGGTTAGATGGCAACGTTTGGATGTCATGAACTGCCTGTCTGCATATCTTAAGCGTTCTGAGTCTTTCCGTAAAACGGACCAACTCTTTGTTTTGCCGTCGGGAGCAAGGAGAGGTGAGGCGGCTTCTTTATCTACGTTGAAACGTTGGATTTCTCTGGTTATTAAGAAGGCGTATATCTCTAATGGTATATCACCCCCACAGGAGATAAGAACTCATTCTACTAGAGCATTATCAACTTCAGGGGCTAGCTGGGCAGAGGTTCCATACGATGATATTTGCAGAGCAGCCACCTGGTCTTCTCTGATGACATTCATGAAGCACTACAAACTAGATGTGGATTCTCCTTCATCCTCCTTTGGGAAGAGTATCCTGTCTACGGTTTCTTTATCCCGTTGATATTAAACTTTTCTTTGCTGCATGTGATTCAGTTTGGTGTAATTTCTTGGATTATTATTCCCACCCTATATTTCTGTGAAGCTTGGGTATTACCCATAAGTGATGCTGCCATGATTAGCCAGGAATAGAGAAAATTTAAGACAAACTTACCGTAATTTTCTTTTCCTGGCTATTTCTCATGGCAGCATCAGGGTTCCCGCCCGTTCTTTTTTTTTCAGCTTTATAATTGGAGTGAGGTGTAGGGGGAGGAGGGACTCTTTATACCTATCAGTCTGATTAATTAATATAAATAATTTATTTCCTGTGACTGCTAAGGGAGGAGCTACCCCGTAAGTGATGCTGCCATGAGAAATAGCCAGGAAAAGAAAATTACGGTAAGTTTGTCATAAATTTTCTCTATTTTAGAATACTAAAAGTTTGAGATATGATTTAGGTTTATGATACAGATTGCTGTAATGTTTGTATTTATTTTATTTTTTTATTTTCACAAATTATACAAAATGTATCGCAAAATGTATCGCACAAATAAAAATATATATACATTTAGACATGAAGGTATAAAAGTTTGTTGGTATGTGGACTATCTCAATTAAATAACATATATGATAGTATTGCTTTTTTCAATGTTGTCTTGTATTTATGTATTTCGGATTTATTGCTTTAATTTACCTGCCATACTCCCCTTGTTCGATCCAATGGCATTTTTTTCTACTTTTTTTAATAAAAAATAGGAAGCTCGTCTTCTATGTTTCCATTACAACCCTCTGTGCTATAATAGAATTACTTAGTGTTAAAACACCTATGATTCTTTTCATTCCCCAATAAAGCTTTGGCAGATGTTGTAAACAAACTCAATAATACAAATGGATCAAGACATTTTTTTATCACTATTGATTTCCAGTCCGTTACGTAATCTGTTTTCAATATTTGGTTCTTCGTGTCAGAAAGGGCACTTAAATGTTAGCGTCATAAGACCAGCAGAACAAATCTCTGTCTGTGTTTGAAGAAAGAGTATAATGAATGCAATATGAAATGTCTTTTTTTTTATTTTTATTATTATTCCTTAATTCCTAGGGGTTTATTCTCTAAACCTGTAATTTTTGTGACGACTATAGACTTGCAAATTTTAGACCAAGCTATCAAAGTTGGAAAATAATCTCAAGCTGAGATCAATGTGTACATTGTATGTTTCTGTTTAAATGAAGTACATATGTGGAGAATTGACAAAAATACTCTAGTTAGTGAATAAATGAATCATAATTTTACCATAGACTGAAGGAACTGTTATTCAGTAGGCAGTGCAAATCCATATGTCCAAAGACTCTAAAACTAGGAACTAGTGATAGCATAGATATGACTTAAAGCCTTGTGTAAGTGAATAATAACTATGAATTTTACATCACTTCAGCTGACATTTCTCACAAGGACCTGAGGTTTGTTGATATCTAAAGGGACACTATTGGTACAAATGCACTTAATAGGTTTTGGACTCAAAGACATGTTGCATTTTTGTCATTGCTCAATTATTTTTAGTGTTGATAAAAAAGAAAACAAACATTGTGTAGCTTGCTGCAGCATCAGCCTGCACCTTAGACAATATCTCACTTTTCACACGAGGTGTTCCCGGGGTCTTTCAGTAAGGACTCACTGCTAATTTGAACGTTGAGTTTATTTACTTTTTCAGTCTCTGCAAACATCCAAAAGTGATTCTGTTTGCCGATTAATTACAACTAATTGATTACAAAATCCTACAGTGATCAGGAAGCCTACTTGTGAAATCTACTGACAAGATGTAATTTGAGAGTGACATATGCACAGTTCTTACGATATACAAGTTCTTACCTTAGCAGAGATTGGTGTCAAAATGGCTGCCCAAATATTGACACAGTGTGATATTACTGGAACAGGTAAAATGATGTACTGCAGAATTAAAGTCCAATAAAATTTGGTGCCTGTATAGCAATATTTGCATTTTAACGTTGAATAAACAAATATGTAAACACATGAGAATGGCATTCGTGTGTGTGTGTGAGATTGTTGTACTCAAGGGATGGTACTCGACACATATTGCATTTTTCTTTACTGCTGTTAAATCCAAAAACATCATAAAACATATTAAACTTTTAAAATCGAGAACACTGGTGCAATATGTGTGTTACAATTGCGTGCAAAAATCATTTATTTGTGGCAGTAATTTCATTCTATAATTACCCATAAACATGTTTTACAAATGCACATTTTCACTGAGATAATATGAACTGGTGGATGTCTGACAATGCAAGTCCAAAATGTCACGTAGGGATATGTTTACGCTCACAGAATTGATTTGAATTGATGGCCAGCTAATATACACTTTAGGTCCACAAATCAATTTGTCACAGTTCCAAGTTTGGAAATTGAAAGGAACATGGGCATGCCATGAATATAGACTTTATGGTTTATGGCGTTAGTTTAAGAAGTTAATTGGGTACACTTGGATACAAAATTCACAGCAGCATATTAATGCTGTGCATGTATTTGTAAAACATGCATACAGATAAAGTATACTAAAAGTATACAATTTTGAAGTAATAGGCACTAATATACCAACTTTACAAAGGTTTTAAACTACCGATAAAATATGTATGGTCAATTTGTAAATCCGCCTCTTTTATGACATGCCACTGTCATACCAATTCACCCCTTTAATGACAGGTTGCTTTATGATCTCTCCTCCCTTCTATTTTTGTCAATGTTTGCATCTGTGTATCTGCATGCAAATCAATGTGTGTATCTGTGTTTTTGTGTATCTGTAAGTGTGGCTGTGTATCTGCATGTGTGTCAGTGTGTGTATCTGTGTGTCTGTGTATCTGCATGTGTATCACTGTGTGTGTCTATGTGCCAGTGTGTGTATCTGTGTTTGTATGTGTATAAGTGGAATGATGGTTGGATGAGTAGATAGAAATTAGATAGATTTGTAAATAGATAGATAGATTTATGTGTGAACTAAGAGACAGATCTGCCTGATTTTGAATGTCATTTTCTGAAAGTAAAAAATACAACTGATTGTTGTAAAACAAACAATTGATTGCAGCATAATTTGAATGCGAATGGCACTAAATATTTATCAGTCTGCTCATTGATTTTTTTTTTTTAACAATGCATTAGTTGGACTTGACCTGTCATTG